TTGTCAATGGATTTCAGATAAATTGTTTTACAAAATTTAAACGATTTTGTAAACATGAATTTTTATAGAATGTCTGCCCTAGCTGTCAATGCATTAATCATTTGCATAATAGAACACAATAGTGATGCGGAGAATGGGAACGATAATAGAATAGAACCATAATACGTGGTCTCAATTGTTAACCGTCAAGTGCATACTCGCGGAATATGAGTAAATTAAGGATTGATTAATTTTACAAGAAATAAAATAATGTACAGTATTTAGGAAACATTTTTATCGATGTGTTATGAAATTGATACATTTATGCCAAATAGAACTGAACCAGTTTACATAAAAATAAAACGAGGGAACATGGAAGACTCTCCCAGAGGAAGGTAACTTTCTTCCTCGCCTTGAATATTCGATATTTAATATCTTTAATGCGTTCGCGGAACGCGTCTTGCTTGTCACGGCTTAGAAATGTCTTCCGCAAGTGGAACGAATTCGGAAAACTGGTCGTGGGCCACCGGACAACGCACCACGACGCAATATTTCTGTCGATTTCGCATCGTACATAACAAATAAAACCACGGCATCTGCGCGAAGGAAAGCTCGCAGTACGATAAATATTGCAGATAATATTCGCAGAAATTTTGTATCACTGTGGAAGTAAAGACGATGGACGAGTCGCATATTCAACTTTTTAAAGTAGATGTTACCGTCGATGTTTCCAATATATACAGAAATATTTGAATTCCATTAAATTTGTACATACATATATTCTTGCGTATGTGCTTATTATTTGGTTACATTACTAGCCAAAGGAATGGATATTAATTTCTGTTTCGAGATGTGTCGTCGATGCATCACGATTGACCACAACGGCCTATTAATTTCTAGTTGTGGCGTATTAATGACAATCATTATCATCGAATAATGCGAGCAGGTCGTATGCGATCGTGTATAATCATATCGCGCGTCTTGCACGCCATATTTCAATCAACAAACCAATAATTCAAACGGATAGTTTACTACGAGCGATATTGATTAACCCGTGATTGTGATTTCAGGAAATTGAAAATAGTGGTACCAATTTCAATGATTAATCTCCTGTCTAGCCTAATATCGCAGTTTCTAATGTATGACTTTCCAACAGGACTGGAAGGAGCGATGGCCTTTCCTCTAAATCTTCGCGGTGAGCAAAAAAAGCGCGCGGCTCTCTTTGCCCGCGAGTCATCGTAAGAATTAATGAACTCCGTGCTACAAGTGCTAACGAGTTCACGGTATCGTGATAACGCTTAAAGACTGGCATAAGTTCTCAAAAGGGTGAGTTTTACGATCTCCTGGTTAAACATAAAAAAAAATGCTGAGTCACCTTCTTCTTCAAAGGAGAATTTATATTCTTTTGAACGAGTTAGCAAAGTCATTTGGCCGTGAAACAAAAAGTAACCCCTTCCCTGACTTATCTTAATTATTCTACGTGAAATAGAAATATTCCGCACAAAGAAACGCCGCTCCTTTACCCTTCGCCTACCTCCCCCTTCCAGCCCTCGAGAAAGAAAACCGAACAACTTCTTCAACTACCGTAACAGCGAAAAACCATGTTTTCTCTTGAAATAAACTCTTCCGGCGAGCTGCTGCGGTTCTGCTAACTAAAAACTCAGGAGACCTCTAAAAAAAGGGGAGGCGAATGCTACGAACAGCGAAATAAAAGGGTCGTTCTTACGCGGCAGAATTTTAGCGAGCTTACTCAACCTCGGATACAACCAAAAATTGTGTTCTTCGTGGAACTGTACCAACGTCTGAAAGCTCTGGGGCGCAAATTAAGAGAACATCTTGAAAGCTCGTCGAATTAACGACAGGTGGAACGAAGAAAGACCGAAATTTTTCTGGGTCAGAAAAGGGAGAACAGAAAGGAATGGGGAAACAATTTTCACGCACGAAGCGTAACGTCGAATACGTTGCCGTGTAATGCAACAATTAGGAAATCTAATTTCTCGGTCGCAATCCCCGGCGGTCACAGCCACCGCGGAGTGGTGTCAAGGTGCACTAGAGACACCGTGCCAACTTTTCGAGACTGCGAAACCCGCCGGGGGTGAGAAAGGGTTTTCGGCCGGCCTGGAACAGCGAGTAGAATGGGGGAAATAAAAAACCGACTCTCGTACCACGCAATCCGCGTGGTCCAATAGAAGAGTAACGAGGACGACTTTTTTGCGACCGACAACCCTGCATTAAAAAAAAAAACACTGCACCCTGCGGTAACCGTATCCGCGTATTTCATAAAAATTACCTATCATTGATCATTTTAATAATGAACGCTTCACTCCGCGCGAACGGCTCGCGGCGATTTAATTAAAATCCAGTTCCGAGTTTAAGATCATCTACGTATAAATGATACTGTACGATGCCAATTAAAAACGTGCACGAAATAGTTAAAAACACGTAAAGCATAATAATAATTGTATCGATCGTGTTTCACTCTGGGTGTTAATCGATACGAACATTCTGTTTTTTAGGTCGCAGCAATACTCTGCATTGCTGTTTTTCTTTATTCCTTCGCGTACGTGTGTGTACGTGTCTACTTTTTTCGCTCGTACGTTCGAACGAAAGAATTTCACGAAAGATAGCGAGGCAGAAATCGGAAACAAAGCCAATATTAAAGCCACGAGCACTTTTAAGTCTTCGTATTACAACATCGTACGGCTATACATATACAACACGAAGACGTAAAAGGTACACGTGCTTTAATATCTCGCGAGCCCCCCGTGCTCTTTCCCCACCGTCCCGATTTCCCGGAAAAAATTTTTCCACCCCTTTTCCCGAAGGGTTCCTCGCGCGCTTCATCCTGCATGCATTCATTCTACTTCCGCTAATGTGTGTGTCATACTTAGTTTTCAGGTCATTTACGATCCATAAAAAATTCCTCGTTCTCTCAGTTTCATCAGGAGTTTCATACCTCAGTACGTGATCAGTAATTGTATTCAATTATGATTGTTTCACGTGTGCAAAATTCTTTCCATCGAAACGCGACCCGTGAATGAAGAAGTCGAAGGTTGTACATCCGGGTATTAAAATCGATACAAGCTACATCGTCTTCAATAATCTCTAACAGAATATAAGTCGAGAAAACGGAGCAAATAAACATCGTAGCCTGCAGTAATACACTCTTATTGCTTCTTTCGTTCAACATTTGTAGCAGAATATTTCCTTTCAAACCTGCCTTCGTACACATTTCCTTCCCGTCGTACAATCTAATACTCTCTAATTCCTGCTCACCGTTTTGGCAATAACTTCCTAACAAGAATCCGCCGACGGATCTATTTGTTCGCCGTTAAAACGGCAACACGATTTCCGGTTCAATCGGGATTGATTCGATTCGACTTGGCACGCGATCGCACGCCCGTCAATATAATCATGTTTACTCGGCACGCGTTTAACAGCGTGACACGACGCTTCACACTTCTGGAACTCATACTACGTAATGGTCTGCGAGAATTAAAAAATGAAATGAAGATTTTACGATTCAACTCGTGTACATAAATTTTTAGTCAAGGTGAAGCAGGTGATTTTATACCTGATCGATAATGTATAGCAAGATGATAAATAAAGATTCAGAATTTTGAACAATGGCTTTCGTCGATGTAGCTTAATTCAAACAATCTAAGTACCACTATCGATGCAAAGCAGCGACGTGTTCAAAGGTTGCCGAAGGAAAAATACGTTTGAAAAGGGGAATAAATTGTAGGCAACGATGGCTGGCGTCACCGTTTCGCTCTCTCGTTCGAACCTCTTTGTCCTTGACCCGGGTGTTCGATGAAGAATTCCAGGTCTGATCTTTCACGCTCGATTACACGCTCCTCGCGATTAATTCACCGATATAAAGCTTCATCCCCTACTTACACCAAATTCATGTGCGTACCCCTATTCAATTTGTTCTTTATACGTACACCCTCAACCTTAATCAAACCAGAAATGTATTTCAATTATCGTACAGTGGCTAGTATTCCTAAGAATAGTTAAACAAGACAAATTACGATGTAGGATATTTTAATTAACAAGAGATAGTCTGTCACAAGGACAGTGTTTGGAGAGTCAACGTCCTCGATTTCTAGCAGTGAAGCCCAGGAAAACTCAGCCTTGACCTGCGTCCGGAGTTTCAATCCAGTGGACAGCGAGCAAATGTCTCGCAAGAAGAAATCTGTGAAGAAGACTCGTGCGTTCACCCTCTCGCAAGACGATCGGATAGTGTGAGGAGCGGGTTCGTTAGCACAGGTGGTTGCGAATACCTCGGTGTTGCGTATCGTGGAACATAGTCGGATCCATTTGATAATTCACGTAATAATGTTTGTTTTATGGGAAGGGGATGAGAAAGCAGAAATAAATGATCGGTGGCACTCCACTATCATAAAGCGTGTTACATAATGTGTTATGCACTAATACAATGTATTATTCATAACAAGAAGATTGAAAGAGAATCGTTAATTAAGTCATTCATTAAAAAGGAACGTTATAAAATGAAATGTAAAGTCCACCTATGGGCATATGGTCTCGTGGAAGGAAGATTTTCAATTTTGTCTGTTGCGCAATGTCAAGAGAGCCTCAAGTTAAACTACTTGACGCAGCAAAAAAATGATCGAAACCAGGTAATTATGAGAACCCTATTGTCTCTCCTTACAATGGGCACATAGCTTCGCATGATCTCAAAATCCATTAGCGAAAGTGCAGTTGCAGGCATGCTGGTTTTGTACATTACAGAAAGAACAGCACGTTACATTATTTCGTGCAACTCCAAAAGCTCTTCGAGTTGTTAAACATAAACGATCATAGGAACTACCTATGGTTGCGTTGCTATATAAAGTTCATTTATTGTGATAGCATATTTATTGTTTGACGAAATGTTGAATAAACAATTTTCAACATAACGCTCGTTGTTAATCCGTAACAGGCAAACGCGTACGAACTAGCATATATTAAATTGCAATTAAACATTCATTAGAATGGAGGTAAAGTATGAAAATTACCGGAGGCAGCACGATTTCTAAGAAAATAATCCCGAGATCGTCTTGGCACAGGTGGTTGCGATCAGCCAAGTGTCACCCAACCGATAAATGGCACGGATTTTCTTCAGAGGCTTCTTGCACGGTTCACGGAGAGGAGAACCGGACGCACGCACAATCACATCGCGACCGGGTGCCGTTACTCGCGAATCGGATCGACGATCTCATCGCGCGATATTACCCGAATAGGAGCTCGATCGACTGGCCGGGGCGAAAGCCGTCGCGCGACTGAAACTCTCTCTCTGGCACTCTCTGCTCGCAGCATCCCTTTCCCGTCCTTTCCGCTCCTCTCGTCTCTTACCCTTGTTCCCGCTCTTTCACCCTCTTCCCTCGTCGGCCGTGCACGCGCGATTTTCCCTCTTATTTTAACTCCCTCGGACGTATTCAACGGGCTGCGTGGGATTACGCGGGGGCGGACTCGAATGGGGAATATGGCGAGACCTTCGATTTGTGTTTGTGCGTGCAAAAGGGTTTCGAGGCAGGTAATTAAGGGATGGATATGGATTTTTGATATATCGCTAAGCGTGGGTTAAGGGTTTTCGTGGTTAATCTCTCAAAGAGATAATTAAGAGGAAACTCGCGTTGATGGTAATTTCAAGATCGATAATAATTTCAACGAAAACAGGCAAATGGGATTAAGGTAGGAATTACCGGGCAAAATTCGTCGGCGCATTATTTCGTTCTTTATTCTTGAAACGGTGCGATCGGGTCGCCTTTATTCCCGCATTCATCCCCTAATTAGGGAAACGATCGATTCAATTGCCGCGTATAGTTTTATCGAAGTCGAATCGTACCAAGCAGTTTTGTACGCGGAAAGAGGGGTAATTAGGTATGCCCGGTATCGGGTTCGGTGCGTGCTTGTGAATTTCAAATGATCCGCTTGTGTGTACTGTTTCCATCGGGATACAACGGGCCACTCGTGCGAGCAGCATTTCGTTTGTCGTGAAACCGATGTTCGAAAGTTTCCTCGATTCCACGCGAACTAGGACACGTTGCGTAACGTTCCGCTGAAAAATTTTCGAATTCATCCTCGCGAGGAACGAAGTACACGCGAAACGCATTTCGACAACGAGCTACTTCAAATTCTACACAATTTTAATATCCCGCAACGCTCCTCATAGCGTTCCTAAACAAAGGAATTCAGTTTCGAATATAAAAACGAGAACGATGAAATCCGTGTCAATTTTCTTCGATTAAACCTCGTCTCGATCCCCGCAATATCCGAGGATTTAATCGGTGGCTGCGAATCGAGGCCGGTTCGAACGATCGTTGAAACGTAATTATGTTTGCGCGCCGATTAATCATTGCTTAGCACGTTTCTCAAAACGGAACATATGCTCCATCGACAATGTAAGATAAAAAATGTCGATATTGTCCCATCATTCGTCTGTCTCGATCGACATGATAGTAACTTCTACTTTCTTCGAATGATATCCTATTCAAGATCGGTTTGATTGGTTTTTTAAATCATGCAAACAAGTAAGGAAAGAGGTATATATTAAAATGTTATACAGCTTGAAACAATAACGGCGAGAACTTTATTTCTCGCAGTGGAAAGGTTTATATTTGTACTAAAAATAAAAAAGCCAGACGGATTTCTCAGTCGCGCTACAAATGGCAAGCTACCTTATTTCCACTACATATTTTACCGGAACATTTTCTATTTTCTCCACGGCATTTAAACGGACTTAGTACGTGACTCCGTCAAAGAAAAAGAAACAAAGCGGCGGGATTCAATTGGAAAAACAATACTATTCCTTTGCGCGGTATCACGCAGGAACTATTCGCGTATCGCGAAAAGTCACAATTTCACCGAAGTACCGAGAACGATAGCCGCTCGATGAATGCCCTCCGAGCGGGAACAAAGAAAACTTTTCGCACAAAGTACGCGCGCGGTATCGTTCGAAAAATCCGTGGCCATTGTTGCGTCTCAAGCCTGCGAGGTTCGCCCGTTCCTATTATGGGATAGAATCCCATCGATCCTCGCAAGTTTTCGAGCAAATCCCGCTTTTAACGTCGTCGCTGCCCCATCAGAATGTCCCCTTTACGTCGCTTCGCGCTCACCGTTCTCTCGACCGATTAAACACTTAAAACTATTCGAAGAATTTTTGCAAAATACTCGATGGGACGGAGTTCAGTTGAACAATCTTCGTAATTGGACAAGTTTTAACGAAGTCATTTTCAGACTACTTTATGTACTACTTTTATTCGGCACAGGAGTTTATAAAGATGAAAAAAATTTATTCCTTCTGCAAGTGCGTTCTAACTTGGATCGATGCGCGTTTCAAGCAAATCGCACTCCATTAACCAGATGCTGATAATTGCATTATCCACGCGAGGACTCCATCGGTTACTCCCGCGCGAGATCCTTCGATTATCTCAATTACGTTATTGCAGTTCCATTAATCTCCCAGATGTTCAACAATCTCGGAATCCCTTACCAAGGATTGATTGATCGGCCGCTGGTGCGGAGCGTTTGGCAAGACGAATCCCGAAGATCGATGTTCACAGTGCGATTTCTTAAGTTCGCGGAAGCCAGAAACCAGCCGCGGCACATTTTCCCGGGCCAGGAAGTCGTCTTGCGTCACGTTGCAGGAAAAAGTTTTAGGAATCAATAGTCCCGAGACGTTACGGAAGATTATACCGTCGCAAGTTGGATGACATATGGGGGAGTCGGGGAATTGAACGCGGCAACGACCAGGAGCCATCAAATATCCATTTATTTCTGGTAACAACTATGTACATACATATACAAGACATATACATACAGAATAGGCGTATTTGACACGTACGTAAATGCAGAAAGTGGTCCGTACTCGAATTCGTTTTAACGAAACAAGTATTCTTCTTGGGTTCAAATACGTTCGATCAATAAAAATAGTTCGAAGGGTTCTCCAACGTTCTTTATATACGTATGTGTAATACATTTTACGTAAAAGACTATCCGCGGGTAACTTTGAAATTTTTTGCAAAATAGGCCACTGCATTTAGTAATATTTGTTGAAACTATTAAGGCCCCTGTTTGGCACGCGATTTGTTTCCAAAGGAAAGGGCCCGCGGTGAAAATAAAAAGAGTTGATGCTTTTATACAAATATGCTCGCAAATTTTCTTGTAAAACGTGTTTGGGAGATGTTCGCTTTGAGAAATGTGTAGCACCATGATCGAATCTGTGAAAATATCTTATTGCGTATTCTCGAATAAAATCGTTCAAAATACACGCGCGATTTTCTGGGTGATAGATTAAAAGGCAATGTATTGTAAAAAATAATTTCTTCTCGCTTCGCAAGTTTTAGAGACTTTCATCAGTGACCCTTACTCCTATTCTTTTTCTTTTCAAATTCGTAAGTATATAGTACAAAGTGTGGAAGTTTACGAATGTTCACTTTTTCACATCCGAAACAAATAATGTTATACAACAAATTAATAATAACTTTTTACTCATTACAAATAATAAATAAATTTTTTACTCATGCTGACATCAATAGACGAAACTTATTTGTGTAAAAAAAATTTTCCTTTTCGTATAATTCCTTGTATCGAAAACTATTTGTACAGGGATATCTTTTTTGTTCGTATTATCCTCGGAATATTAGATACGTATTTTTCATTGATAAACCTGGGCGGAGACAGGGCTCTAAAGATATCCAAAAAGTTTCCTTTTTCCTAAATTTGGTAGCGGGACACGAGGGAAATTGATTTTATATCTGTGATTTTGGTATCAAAAAAGGAAGAATTTCCACTTTCAACGATCAGGACTAATTGTCAAATTCATACATCTGATATGGTTTCCAGTCCAATTTTTGTAGAGACCTGAAAGAAATTTGTCCGGAGCACCAATTTTTCTTTATGTTCCAGATCAAATATAACAAGACATTTCACACACAATAATAATCTCGATTTGTTTTACATACTTTCTCGCGGCTTCTACAAATCCCCCAGGGCCGCATATAAAAATGCATGCATCCGGCGTGCTTTCCGCGACCAGTTCCTTCAATAGGTCGTCAGACAACTTGCCGCGTCTACCCGTCCACGTATTTTCGGTTTCCAAAGAGAGCACGTGTGTAACTTTTAATCTGGAACTGATACGTATGTCGATAATGAAAATTGAGAGGACGTTCAATTTTATTCTCAATTATTTATTATACTTACTTGCTCTCAGTGCTAGCCCGTGCCAGTTGCGCCTGGTAAAACAAGTTGTCTTCGTCTTTGTTAAAATTGAGAAGGTTTATGCTCTTTCTGCACAAAGTAATATAGAAATTTCTGGTGAAAGATAGTTTCCCATATAAAAAAAATTGAATTGTCTACGAAAATATATAGACACTAACACGTTACGTCTACCCAAAGCTCGCTGTATGATTCCAAGCATCGGCGTTAAACCCGTGCCACCGGCTATCATATGAAGGACAGTGTAACGATCGAAGGACTCTACTACGAAGGCACCTATAGAATTGCTGAGGGAGAGGGTCTGGCCGACTTTAAGGGCGACGATGGACGGACTAAGTGCCCCTTGCGGATACTTTTTAATCATTAAACACAAGCAATCGGACTTGTAATTCAACGCCACATCGGCAGGGTGAAGGCACGGCGGAACTGGGGTGTACGATCGCGTCACTTCCATCCCTGAGAAAATTTATCGATCAGTTTTTAAGTATGAATCTGTATGTAGTCCATTGCAGAATGTGCTACTTACCCATGACGTTCATCTTGGCCTCCACATGTCTGCCGACAGGCACGGTCTCAAAATAATCTTTTGCTCGTACGACTAACAGATGGACTAACTTTGAGAGTGGTTTGTTTGTAAGTACTTGGTATTCTCGATACGTTAGGTCATTCGCATTCGTTTGTCTAGATATCGTTTGGCTACCCTGTGATTTCCATATCACTCGTTTCTGTTTCGTGAACGTAAACTCCATCTGCGACAAGGTCGAAATCGAAATTCAATAAAAATTGAATATATATTGAATATAGCGGCAGATGACGTTTCTTATAAAAAAAATTTAATTATTTTTCTTCACCTCCATCGTTTCGAAATTCCTGGTGCACACCGGCGGCCATTCTATTTCCGCCGTCAATTCCAGCTGATGTATTACTACGTCCTTCTCAAAAAACAGTTTGAATAGCAACTTTGTGTCGTTTATTCTGGTTACTTGATAGGAAACACCTGGATATTCGCGGACTGTCTGATAGTACAGAGTGATTGTATTGGACGTCTGCTTCCAAGTCATCTTTGTGCTCGAGAGACCCGTGTCCGACACGTTTTCTGAACTGATATTATGAGCTGCAATTCGCACACGTTTTTATTATTTGAACATTTTATTTTTATTTAGACATAATACTGAATCGACTGTTTGTGAACATGAGAAGCTCCGGTTTAAAAAACTTTTTCTCATCAAGAATTCTCGTTGCTTTTATAGAAGTGGAAAATCGGTCTACTCACTGGCGCAGCTTGTTATCAAGCTCAACGTCGCCGTGGAGCAAACATTCGTGTTCGGAACAGGATTCTCTGCAGACGTGGATGTGGCTGTCCCACTGACCGATCCGCGATTTAACTTCCCGACGACGCATTTCTGAAGTATGCTCTGGTAATTCACCCAAGGGTGCACCTGCGACAAACGATCTATGGGTACGTAACGAAATGATCGATCGACGCGAGAGATGCTTGTTGCACGGGATTCGGACGATAAGTTAGCGAATTTACGTTTTCAAAGAGTTTCGTGGCGTCCTTTCCGACGCCTCTCATCAATTCGTCGACTCCTCCGGGGTGGAAGTCCATGTACCGCGTTACGTTGAACACGATTCCTGCAGTTCAATTGTTTCACTTGAGATTCACAATTTTCAATAAATTATGGCAATTGTCCCAATTTCTGTTCGTGTCACAATTTCTACTCGCTGACGTATTTTTCTATAATTTTAAAATAATATACATGTACAGAACTTGGGACATTTACCTTATAGCTTTACAAATTGACTTTATTAAGTGAATCCGAGAGTATTTCTGATCATTCCATTTTTGATTCACTTCGGAGTTGTTCGTTTGGAAATGCATAATAGAGTTCCCAGTTTCCCGCTAACTTTTGTATTGATGAACAACTGACTAAAGTTCCTCTGAACGCATTGAGAAGAGGCTTTAACGAAGTTACGCTAACTCGGTTTGGAAACCCGGATAAGTTCATCTCAACTGTCAACCGATTCTGCATTGAAATTCATAGACACAGACTGAAAAGGCTTATCGCTTTTCATTCAAAAAACTTTCTCGCCGTTCGTTATGAGAATTTTTCTGACTCACGCGCCGCGATCAGAATGTGTACAGACGGAATTGAAATAGCCAGGTCAGAGTTGGTGACATGCGTTGCATAAATATTTGACGATCTGACGTCATGGACAGGGAAAAGTAAATTTTAATTAAACTAAAAGCGTTCCACGCTTGGTTCTCGTTCTTCTTCCGATCCCTAAAGAAGTATCTGTTCTTATAGAATTAAATTGCTCAAGTCGTTGATATAGAACAGATAAAAAAAAATTTAGATAGATAAAGATTTCAGAATCTATTTTAAGATACAAGGAAAATCTTCTTAAACCGACATCGTACCTCGAATCGCGATCCAAGCATCGTTTTGCTTATTGTGAGTGGCCAGTTCGGCTAATGTTACGACTTTTGAAACACCACCGACACCAGTTAAATCGACGCCTGAATTGCCTAATCGAATCCAATCCATCAAACTGTGGCCGGGCGCTAATGCCGTTTTATTTCTTGTAGTTCCTGCAAACAATGATAAGCGGTATCAACGATCGTTCATTTAACTCCTTAATAATAATAATCTAACAATTTTTAGTATGCAGTACATGTTTATATGTGCCGACGAATACAATTACTGGACATGTATGCAAAATAAAACATTCAGGGTATTAATTTAAAAGTTTAAATGAATACAGCTTTTGATATTTCATTACATTATTGTTTATATTTTCTATCTATTCAATTTCTTTATAAATGCATAAAATCTGCAATTTAATAATTAAATATATGCGAAAATATGGAAACGCTCGTGTTTCGTACGAATGCCTGTAATTAAAATCATAATTGGTAGCAGACACTTGCCGCGCCTGGCTCTAGAGACTATCTCGACCGTTAATTAAACTGTCAAAGGGTTAATTCCGTAATCAAACGAAAAATGAAATTACGCCTCCGCATTATATTAAATTAAAAAATTGATAACAGTAATCTTATTCTATATTGTATTCTCTAATAACGAAATTATCTTCGTTAGCATAGATCATTTAAGAGAGCTTTGATAATGAGTGTCGAAAGTTCAAACGAGTCTTGATTGCGGAAACTTGCCAGAAATATGATCAATGTCCACCGGCTACTTTCTAAACGCTTTCACGTGGACGGAAACCGGGCACATCGTCGGAATAACAAGTAAAACTCGTCTCTCTTTATTTTACTACATAATCATTAAACTAGGTAAGTAAGTTTCATTTCTTAGTTACTTTCATTTACAATTGTGTAATCGTTCTTTATACAAAAATAAAACATTAGACAAAACGGCGTGCAATTTCTCAGTCGCTGTATGATACAGAAACGCAGTCTCAGAAATTTTGATCATTCAAAATACATATTTAAAATTAATATAATAAGTTGAACATACAATTTAGTTATCAGTTGTCCCATTGAGAATCTAATTAAATAATCGTCGTCCGCCTCGTTTATAAGTGATTTCGACGATGTTTTTGTCGCGATGACAGCCTATAAATGTGCTATAAGTCGCACGTGTTCGCGGCACGATTGACGTACGGAGGTTCACGGGGACGAAGCAATGGAGAATTATATCGTTAATTACTGACCGTCCTGAATCTGCAAACCGAGAGTTTGTGGGGACCCGTCGCCGTCCATGACGGATACCAAAGACGCGCCGCAGCATCGTGGCATTTTCTTATCGAAACGTCACTGTTCGCGCACGTTTAACCATCCTCCTGCATACAAATGATTACAAACACTACTTAGGTACATGCGGTACACTCGGCCAAAATCAAAACTCGAGCAAGTTTAAATAAATAAGGTCTAAAGCTCGAATCGTGAACGTCGTAAGAGATCGGTAACGATTCACCAATCGTTCTTTCAATACGGTTATGTTTTAAATACGTCGACTCTTGTCAAAAATGACAGAACGCAATGCAGAAGGCTCCCAATCTTATACATATGTATGTATATATAAATACATAATACTAATTACGTAATCGAATGAGTATTTTATTTAAATAAAATTGAAATAGGGATGTTACATAATATGGAGAGGGGGTTGTTTTTGTTATGAACTCGTCGGTTATTTTTACGCCGATGCGATGTATGTAAATTTGTGGAGAGCAGCAGCAAAGGAAAAACGTGAACAAACCTCGACTGTGAAAACCAGAGAAACGGCGGGAGCGCTAAGCAGCGCGAAAAACCCGCGGCGACGTTGGAAATAGTCGTACATCCCAGCTTCGAAAACCTTCGTTGAACAATAGACACCAGTCGTCGATCGATTCTCTGCTAGTCCAAACAATTCTTGCTTCTTTGTAACGAGATTCAAGCAGAATCAAAAGAAATGGCGAAAAAAATTCACAGCCTCACTTTTCAAGACTCATATCGAAAGTTCACGAGTAGGAAGATTAATTTTATTGAATCTGTATTCATTTTAAAAGATCTGTACTTCAATGCGGTTGGTATTTTAATCAATACGATAACAGTTTAAGGATTTGTCCAACTGTTGCTAATCTGAATCATGATATTTAAGATTGTTGACGCTTGCACAGCTTTATTCCTAAATTTTAATTAAGCTGTAGCTCACAACACGAATTCACAATTACTGAAAAGAGTTGAAACAGGGGTGCATTACTAGACAATCCCAGTACGAGTTTTTTAGAAATTCACAAGTGTTAGTCTATGCGAAAACTGAATCGGTTACGGGGAAATGTGATCGCGGGAGTGGCATCAGAGCGAAAACGTTGATCCCTTGGTGACGGATTGGAAGGTACTGCACCGAAACACGCGGACCGATATAGCTCTCGGACAGGTAGATCAATATAGAAGCTACGGCGTACCTAACACGCAGGATCTCGCCAGTGACCGCGTGGCTCTCTTCCCGCGGACATCTCTCTCTTCGTTTATTCGTTTATACGATGACATTACTCAACCCCGCATCATTGATCATAACCAGAATTCATTTTTACGTATTGGCATCTTTTTATGAAAAAGCCGAACGATATTTTATTTATGTGTTTCATAATAAATGTTGATTCGTCTGGATACTGATGATTGAATTCACCCCTGGATGACACAGATTCAGTTCTATGTATCGTATTGGTGAAATCAATTTCGAAGCAAAGCTAGGGATTCTCTCGTATTCGATTTTTTCCTTCAATTAATATGGAGATTCAATGCATGAAATTGTTGTCATTTGTACGTTCCACTCGGTGAGGAGGAAATGATCGGTCGGTGCCCGGTAATGGGAGGAAATTAGATTCTTCGATTAGCGAAGATTGTAACTGAAACATTTCCTCCAAAGACATCGTCTACATAATTTCGTATTCATATGTCGAAGAATGTTTTTCTAAAAATCATGTATCTCCAATTCTCCGAAGGGAAGAATAAAGATAAACTAAAAACAATTTTTGTAGCGAACCATTTGCCCCGACCTCGATGCACAATTAATCGACGACGAAACTTCGTGGATGTCATGAACTCGTCAATTAACGGGGTAATCAGAAATTCTCGAACCCGTGGAACCTTCCAATGGTAATCAATACTTATACGATTGCCGGACTTTATGGAACCTCGGAATTATAAATAGAAGAGCATCGAGCTGCCACGAGAACACATTAAAAAATCATCTTATACGAAATAGAAATAAATTCAGCTATCAGTTGGAAAATAACAAACGTTTCAGGGGAACCATATGGTAATATTCATCTTTCCCCAATCATCTAAGTTATCATATATATTGAGTGATACAGAGTAATAGAAGCAGATTATTAAATTCTAAGAAGATCCATAGTAAACTAGCTATTATGTAAATAGCTAAAAGTATGAAAGATCAAAGTTGTAATTAACTTTCTCAAGAATTCATGAATGTTTGCGAGCTTAAACGCTTGATAGTTCAGATCGCGTAAGTCTGATATTCGTAGACAAAACCGATGATAAATGTAGTCATTTAAATCTTATTTTTAATTCACCGCCGCCGTCTACATAATAGCATTGAGTAACGCGAAATGTATGTATAATTCACATTGCTACCCTTTGCATTTATTTCCTTTGATATCCACACTTAATTATTAATACTACAATTTCGCATTTAATAAAATTAATCGAAATACACTTTTAAGATTAGATTAGATTCTGTCGATCACCGAGTTAAGAACCGCAGTTGAAATTTCGACCCAGCACCGATTCTCACTATCGGGACAGGACAGGGGACAGAATGATCACGCCGAATGGCCCTGCCCTATCCTATCCTGACCCAATAATGTAAACCGGGACTTCCAGCTCTAAAAGCGTCGATCCCACGATGCGCTCCTCTTCCAATTTCTCTTTCTATCCCGAGTAAGACCGATTCTCACTATCGGGACAGGACAGGGGACAAAATGTACTCGCCGATCGGCCCTGCCTTGCCCTATCCTGACCCAATAATGCGAACCGGGCATGATCTTGCTCAAAATCGACTCCTGCCGTAATGGAAAAACTGTCCTGAACGCGATACAGCTTTCCCAAATCGATTCATAGTTTTATTTAAGTATCTTCTATACATATTTCACAACATTATGAAAAGCGTTATTTATTAAATTAGTCTCGATTACTGAGAATGATTTGTGTTATTAACTTGTGTTATTAAAAAAGGCATTGTTTATTAAATTATTCTTGGCACTATTTTCAAACAATTTTCAATCAGTTTCGAAACGATAAGCTTGTAGGTCTGCACTGGTCATTATAATGCAAAAATACGACACGTGCCGAATCAATTTTCTGAACAGAATTTTAGCTCACCGGTAGCCGAGCCCGACGCCGATGATCCCATTTGATTAACCGCCCTTGCATCCTCGAATTGCTTTACTCGTGTGACACCGCTAGGTAACAAACGCGTGTTCGCGTCGACTTTCTTGAACTTCTCTTGAATGTCTCTGGCGCCGCCTCTCGCTTCCGTTTCTTTCGATTTCCCTTGATCCTCGCCCGGAAATTTCTTCATCCTATCTCGACTCGTTTAGTATCGTCCTACAGTTCGTTTTTATGGTCCCCCAGCATAGGCCAATACCTCGATATCAAATCTGAGGAAACAGAGGAAAACTGTTGCACTCCTCTAATCACGTTCCGGGGTCAACGACTAGTTTATTGGACTGGCCCTTTTTTAATCCAGTACAACTGGATTCTACGTTTTCGTTTCGTTGTTTCAATATAAACAAGCATAATTAATAATTGATCGGTTTATTTTTGTAATGTTTTTAAAGCAATTACAGCTATAATTGGGTGAGATAGAAATAATTACAGCAATAATTGGATGAGATAGAATAGGAAGTAATGGTTAAAAAGAAAATGCAGTAATTACAGAAGATAGGTACATTTTAGTAGGATAAAGAAAAATAATTTGTACACGCAGTGTATATTACAACGGATGAACGCAAGTAAATAGGTAGACATCTATTTAAAAACGAAAGCTGTAAAGCGTCCGATGGCGGTACTTAAACTGCCGGAAGCCACCGCTTGTACACGGAATCGTTGGACAAATAGAGTTTTGTCACGCTCGCTTAAATATAGCGCAGTCCCACGTGTGTAACACATATCGTAAAAAAAAATGGAGCCTGTAAAAAACTAGAAAGCGAAGCACAAAGGACTGCTCGATACAGAAAAATACTTTCACCGGAGTTTTCACTTTTGTGTCTCGCGCATAAAAAATATTAAGGTGCGCAGACTTATCGTAAAATATCACGCGAAACGCAAAGAATGCGATAAGATTACGAAAAAATTTCGGTACAAATAATCAAAATTTTTATATCAACAGCTGCTTATCGTTTTCATGAGACATCAAATTTTGATAAGTATTATTAATTACTTTTACGATCTAGTGTTTTGCGTTTTAGATAACTCTACTGAACAAAGTCGATCGAAGATTAAACTAGAAATAAGAAATTTAATAAGAAAGTTAAATAAGAGATTAGTTCATCGTAATAATAATATTTACTACAAGCGTTACGAAACAAACGATCACGCGAAATTCGAAAGGTAAACAAGATTGAATGATGACTTTATTAATGGAACACATTAATGAATAAACACGGAAAGAATGCATAGTAAACGGAATATTAAGTAATTTCTCTATCGATGAGTCACAGCGCGCACTGAGACAATGACCAGTACGTAATTGCAATAGTGAAGGTAAACTGGTAAAACGTTCCTAATTGCAGTAAAACATATGCAAATAATGATTGTCAGATAAACGCGAACAAAATGTTTGTTAATTTATTTCGCATGAGTCACAGCAAATAAATGAATGGCAGAAGGTCAAATAAAACTGAGCATACACAGTTCACAATTTAATGAGTACTAAGATAGTATATACGTATATTCCTGCATGGGAATATTAATAAGATAGTGATGAGAGAGGGAGAAGAGAGACGAATCGAGGCGCGATACCCGAATTATTCTGTTTCGAAGAGATCCTGTAAACGTTCCGTTGATTCCGCACGACATATTTCGTGGATTTCCGATGAGAGATCGTAAGAAAGGAGATCGAGCGATTGACAATGAACATGAACGTTCGTGGGAGACGATATCGCAGCGGAGCTCGTGTTCTAACCTCAATAAGGTGGATCGGCGATCGTGAGTCGCATGTCAGGTCAGAAGACGTAAGGACCAGTCTTCACCGCACTTGTAGCCGCCACGTCTTTAACTCGGCACGAGACTCCGACCAATAATAAAATCACCAGGAATAATGAGAGTTCTTTGTCGAGTGATAAGGTAGCAAGTGGCCGCAAAGTGACATTCACCCTGTTGTACGCACACACACACGCAACACTGTTATGCACTGTTACGCACACATCAAAACCATGCTTCCGCATCCCCGTCGCCCGTTTACCGACTCAAGTGCCATCTAACGGAACCGCCATTCTTCGAACCATGCTCCAAAGAGCTTTATTAAAGATGCGTTCGAACAAAAGGAACAGTTTCTTAATTCATTCACGATAAATACTGTTGAATATTCACGAACTATTTCGTTGACTACATCGTTATTTTCTGACACTTTCCCATTCATTAACAATTTAATTTCATCGAGAAATTAACATTCGATCGCTTACGATTAATCTAAACGAATCTCAATTAAAAATACATATTTACATCATTACACAGTCCTGATAACTCGAGTTTTGAAACACTATAAGAGAAAGATGTTGCTACCTCGTCATTATTTCAAGGCATATAAATGTTCGCATATTTTTATACCCGCATAATGGAGCCTAAATAAATATGTACGTATTCAGATAACAGAAAACGCTATTAATCTTTTAAGAGTCACGCCTCACCTGAAGTTAAGCATCGCATTTGGCAATCGTGCGCATGTTTCCAAGTCGATAAGGTGGGTTAAAACGGGCTGTCAATTATCGGATAAAATTCACGTGAACGTTGATAATCATAACAGAACTTTATTCGTCGGGTATAAAAATTATCAATACCTGAAATCGTCGCTACGAAGGTACTTCTATAAAAGTATATCATAGTACCGTTTTTTCCTCATACAATCCAGTTGCACGAAAGGTAAGAAACTAAAGAATTTATTATTCGTATCAAGTAACTATTCAACTATGATAAGAAAATAAAAACGTTTGCAAGACAGCGATGATCAACATAAAACTATGATGATAGAAGCTTCGTACTTTTTGCGATTTGTAAGAACTAGTTAGAGTTTAGATTATAATTGAATAGAGTATATTACTATTGTTTCTCTTAAATTGTATTAAATGAAAGTCATACGGCTCGCGAGGTCATCGTTCCCATCGCTATTCGGTAGCCATTTTACAGCCTATCCCCGACCCCCTAAATATGTCTCACACGGCGCATAAAAGGTCGTAAGTCCCAGCCGTCCCAGCCCGGCGAGTAACTAGGTATAGCGATTGCGCGGATCCCGTGGTATGGTTGGTCGCGTCCGCGTCGGTGTCGGTGCCGGTGAAGGTGTAAGCAAAGCAGAGTGTTAGTTGAGTGCCAGGAGCCGGAAAAAACAGCGTCGTAGGTACGAGCCACGGATACCGTGCTGTCGATGACTCGTGACTTAAATCAATTTCCATCCAGTGAAGCGAAGTGCCACACGATATTGACTCGCATCACGATTCGCGACGAGTTTCACCAACTTGCTCGCGTTACATAAATCTCAATTAAAGTAAGTAAATGAATGGTGTGCACGCACTCGGCCTGCGTCTCGCTATATGCTCATAGTTATACACAAGAATCGCGGACTTTAACGACCGATAGTGTTTGTAAGTCTCCGTACTGTTTCGAGTATCTACGTGGATAGAATCCATTGTCAGTCATAAATCATCCGCCGCTAGAATGGTCGGAGACTATGAATCATCGTTGCATGAACAAATTCATGATTCTCGTTCGTTGCTTCACTATGCTCGTTAATCGAATTCATTCGACAAATCGTTCCTTGATAATAAGTAATTGACAAATTGACACGTTATCATTGTTTTATCGACGCGAACAAGCCTCACCCATTTGCTGCGTTCTGTAGTTTCACGAGAAGCTTCCCAACCGGTGGAAAACGCCCGAGCTGGCTATAGCTAGTCTGAAACGTGCCGTAAGCAACTTCCGGTCCGACGGACACTGTCAGATACGGTACTTACTACTTACATATTGGGCTTGATAACCTTGGTGCGTAACTACTCAGTTACATCATTGTTGTAACACGTATTGTAGATATCTCTCTTATCTATTTTTTCTGAAAATGAATTTGCTTGGAATATGACTCGCGTGCATGTATCAATGCTGGCAGTGCCGGCGAGATAAATCGATACACAACCCGGCATTTCCCATAAAAAAAAGAGCACAAGCGCCGAGATAATTTGTGACACAAGGTCAGGATCAATTAATTAGCGTACAGTAGCAGTCAAAATGAATGTACTCTTGTAAAGAGTAAATTTAAGTAACATATGCCTTTGAAACCCCTTATCTGGTTTCTAATTTACATAACATGCGTACAGAAAATTCTGTGCGGATTCTGACTCATACAACTGGAGGATAAGATAACGATCTGGGCAGTCCAGCCACATGCGCATACCCATAACATAATACTGATGTAATAGGCAAAATAGCAGAGTAGTTTATTTAGATCTTATAATCTGCGCTCTTGGGGGATGTTACGTTTCAGAAAATGTTGAGTTTTCTTTCGCTAGGTAAGTGGGTTAGGTAATAGAAAAGCAATAGGTGCGAGTGTGAGCAAGATGCAGAATAAAGCTTATCCAATATGTGTGTACTGACAGTGGCGGTCGATTCACGTTCGATTTCAAAAACTACTCAAGATAAAATGTGTAACGGGCTAGAACACGCGATTGCATACTATCGACATAAAACTTACGATTTTTATTTCATTCGTTTTACTCGCGATTATATTAGATTTGATCGGATTATATTATCAGTCTTACAATACAGCGCTTTTCACAACTATTAAACGATGTACTTGTTTATATAATTTATTACAAGCATGTGAAAAAGAATAGAATATTAAACTCGCAGATAATGTGTCCCTTGAGTTATTCAAGGAGCTGAATATATCGGCATAACGCGACATTTTTATTACTTACACGTGGCTGTTTTTTGTACCGATTGTTAAACGTGACTAATAAATATAATCGAAGTCACGTTGGTCGTCGTGTCTGTAACAAAGCTGGTAATAAATTCACGATTTCCTTTTTTTAACGACTCTATTGTAATGCACTACGTACGTCTATTCTGAAATTATCCATCTGTTCCTGAAATTAATCTTTGGACAGTCTGCTGCAAGCGAGTGTAACGTAATTTTCAAAAATAAGTATCATCGAATGATGTAAGCGACAGATGAAAACAGATGAAACGCAATCGTTAGTCTTGAAAACAATACCTGTACAATTGTTGTATTAAAAAAAAAATTCGCGATCATATAAGCAATTATCTTTTTAAGTTTCGTAGATAATAATTGCGGTATTGACTTTTTCAGTTTTGGTGTAGATGTCGAGTAGACGTAAAAACGAGGATAAAATGCAGTCCAGAGGGCAAATATTCAACGCGATTCATCGATTTATCGAATTAGTGGCCAGAGGAATATTTCTGTTCATCGCATTCTTAAAAGGTCCTGCGGAATCTCAACCACCCATAAAAAACTTGATATTATTACACAGTGCCACTACTTTAGCATTAAAAATTCGAAATAAACAGGTAAACCTAATATTACTTAATACATAACTGAACATAAATTATTCCATTCCGTAATTTGATTGATGAATAACGACGATAAGATGTAAGTGCCATTGAAATAAGAAAAGATTACATCAAAAGCGGATCACGTATTTATTTGTTTAATACGCTTATCTGTTAACAAAGCATTTATCGATTCGTTAAGAATGTGAGAATCTATATTTACAGTTAACGTCGAAAGAAGTAGTTCAATCATACATTGATAGGATTATGGAAATTCAACCAGTATTAAATTGTATCGTGGAAGATCGCTTTGAGGAAGCTCTTAAGGAAGCGGAAAAATACGACGAGCTTTTGAAGTCTCCGAATGCCCCATCCGTCGAAGTATTAGCAAAGGAGAAACCCTTCTTCGGCGTGCCTTTTACGACAAAGGTAAATTTCATAGAAAAATTACGATATTAATATCTTTCATAACAATTTTAATCGACACACTTTTTATTGCAGGATTGCATTGGGATTACAAACATGAGACAAACAGCTGGTTTAGTTGTTCGTAAGAACACTGTCGCCGAATCTGACGCAGAAGTGATCAAGCTAATGAGAGCTGCGGGAGCCATACCTCTGGCAACGACGAACGTTTCGGAGTTAGCCATGTGGTGGGAAACGTCTAACTGTTTATATGGAACCACGAAGAATCCATACAACACTAGGCACATTGTTGGAGGATCATCCGGTGGCGAAGGCTGCATACAAGCGGCAGCTGGCTCGCCGTTAGGCATAGGCTCGGACATTGGCGGCTCTATCCGTATGCCATGCTTTTTCAATGGAATTTTCGGGCACAAACCTTCGACGGGAACAGTCTCGAACGATGGCCAATACCCGAGTGCGCAAAGCGACGATCAAGATCGGTTGCTCGCTATCGGACCCATGTGCAGATACGCGCAAGACCTTTTACCTACTATGAAAGTTATCGCAAAGAAGGATAAGTTAGATGTATTGCGCCTGGACGAACCTATAGATATCACGAAACTCAAGGTACACCAATCATATTCTTAACTCATTGCGCGTCAGGTCGAGTATACATATAATGTACATGTATGTTTGTTCACCTGACTAACACCCGATTATCACCGAGCTATTGATCTGAAAAGTATTTATTTTAATTCAGTTCTATTATATGGAAGATGACGGCGGTCAATTCTTAACCTCCCCGGTGGAGCCGGAGATAAAAGAGTCCATGATGAAGGTGGTTAGTTTTCTGGAGAAAGCACATAAAATCAAAGCGACCAAACTGAACATTAAAAAATTGAAAAAGAGTATCACGCTTTGGATGGCGAACATGAGCTGCAAAGATGAAAAAGATTTCGCGTATGAATTGTCGAATAGAGAGGGTCACATAACTCTATGGTGGGAGTTCGTGAAATGGATGCTGTTTATGAGCAATCATACATTGATAGCCCTTTTTACTGCCACTTTCGAAAGATTCACGGTAAAACATGGAAGCGAGGAGTACTCGAGACTGATCCAAGAAAGTAGAGATCTTTATCGGGAATTTCAGGTACGGATTATTCGATATTTAAGATTCACATTAAATGACTTCTTGTTTCTAATAAACTGTCAATACAATATTGTTAATTGATAAGTGCCCATGATGTAACTCAGGGTTGGAATTTGGCTCCTATCTTCTCTTCGCCTTCCATTCTTACTATCGCATAAAATGGACGTGATATCTTTCTCGAGTATCTCGTGCGAACTCTGGTCAGACTATACTAGTCTGCCTTTCACGGTATCACGTGTTATTTCTAATAAGTAGCAAAAAAAAGAATTGTCGCTCTTTGCATGCAAAATGGGATTCTCTACCATCCAAATAGTAAACAGCTATTCTTTTACTTTTGTAACTCTGTTTTCACCTTGTAGTTGCGTTCACGCGACGAGAACGATGAGTGATTGAATTTTGAAGCATGTACCCAGGAACATTTTCTTACTTTTTTCCTCGACTAATAGAACGTTTATCCTTTCTATGTCACAAATTGACTTTCTTCCAATAGGATATTTTGGGTGAGGACGGTGTATTCCTTTATCCGACGCACCCTACCGCTGCGCCCTTGCATCACGAACCGTTGATCAAACCATTCAACTTTTCGTACACTGGCATTATTAATGTCTTGGGATTGCCTTCTACTGCTTGCCCCTTGGGCTTGAACAAGGAAGGAGTTCCCATCGGTTTACAAGTACGACTCGTATGCACTATCGTGAATAAAATAAAATTTACCATTATTTTAATTTATAATTTGGTTGACGATCAGGTTGTGGGTGGCCTACATCAAGATCGTGTAACAATAGCTGTTGCCGAGGAGCTGGAGCGAGGTTTTGGGGGCTGGGTGCCTCCGACGACCGTAGCTTGATGGATCTGTCTGTGCGTGATGAAACGATGAATCAACTCATTTTTTATCATACCCTGCCATCGTTATTTTTTTAGAAATAATTACTCGATTAACCATGCGATCCATAGTAGAAAATTATAAGATAAAGTACAAACTCGTATTCAAGAAGCAGATAAACGCGTTTCAAGAGATGTACCGAAAGTGAATTAATAATTCGAATTCTTACGGAATATGCAATTTTTCCGTACCGGTTTAAATAATTGATTCAGAACTTTTTGCCGAATATACGGGAATCGTGCACTGATACTAAAATGAGCGTAATAATATATACATATATATACGTATATATTATACATATATTTATATTTATAAATTGGTATTAAAAGAGCCCCTTTTTCTTTGAGGAGAATCATGTTCAAGGAAGTAATGATGTTTGTACATAAGTAAACTACTACATTGTATTTGACTAACATTTTTATATACCTCATCATAGATCTCTGTGTAGGATTTTCTATTTTCATACGAATCGAGAAAGAGAGAGGGGAAGTATGCGTGAATGAAAGGGAGAGAGCGAAAGAGATTTATATGATAGCAGGGGTGCTTTCGGTAATGTGATAAAATATTAATGATTTTATGTTTGTAATGTGTATTGATGTTAAAGTCGTATACATATATATATTTTATGTAACAAATAAATTTTTATTCCAGTATTCTATCACAATTTCTCTTCTACCATCGTTTATGTTGAATAAAAAAAATGAGTTCGATCTATTATACTTAAAATTCTAAGTACATCATTTTCTATATACCTTTTCGTGTACATAATAAGACGTGAGAGATCTCCGATTCCATGATACACTATTGACATTAATAAATAAATACATATTTACACTACTAACATGAATTGCTTGTCATAGAAACTCTTTAAAAGTGTGAGTAATCATTAAGAATTGAGTGATAAAATAAAGTTTTTATTACAAATAATGAAACTAGCAAATAATTTTAATCGCGTACTGTGCAAAAAGGAACATGGAAA